GCAGAGATGCCCTGCCCATATCTAATTGGAGTGGCTACAGGGCCAATTACACTCACTCATTTTTTGACTAAATCAGAATAGAATGGAAACTCACCCAGCTAATGTCTGACCATTATCTATGCTCTCATTTTCCTGGCTAGTCTAGATAAACCATTAAATGCCAGTCAAGCATATCTTATGCCCTCATTTATTTATCGTCTATCGGGCATTGTCAGAAGCTGTAAGACAATCAGTTTTGCCACTCTGGGTAGAAAACAATCTGGAGCAGTGGCTATGTTGGGCTGAAGGAGAATAGAATAGAATAGAATAGAATAGAATAGAATAGAATAGAATAGAATTCTTTATTGGCCAAGTGTGATTGGACACACAAGGAATTTGTCTTTGGTGCATAAGCTCTCAGTGTACATAAAAGAAAAGATAGATTTGTATCTTATCATAAGGTACAACACTTAATGATAGTCATAGGGAACAAATAAGCAATCAAATCATATTAGGAAACAGTCAATATAAATCTTAAGGATAAATCTTAAGTCTTCTGCAGGTTTAATCAGGAGTCATACTGGAGTCAATCAGGCTTACACCTTAGTAAATGGGTTTAGGTTTACTCTCTAGAAGCACCCTTTGATTATGGTTTTTGAAGCCAAAGTAATAAACAAGGCCTGTTCTAAAGACATCGTGTGATTTCCTGCCACAAACTTCCCTTTGAAGGGATGTGTCCTGAAAAAAAACAAGGACTCCTTATTTCAGAATAAATGAATTCTTGTCCTTTTTACATAATGCATCAGTCCATTTTGTTATTAATTGGGATAATACTACTACACATTTGGTAGGGTAGATATCAGGGGTGGGTTCTAATTTTTTTTACTACCGGTTCTGTGGGCGTGGCTTATTTTGTGGGCATGGTTTGATGGTCATGTGACAATTCTTTAGGATTTAGCAGAGGTACTGGTCGACCAGGCTTTTAACTGCTTGCAGTGCTGTACCGGTCTACCCATTTGTTCTTGGAGCGTTCCAGTCTACCCATTTGTTTTTGGAGGCACCGGTCTACTCATTTGTTTTTGGAGGCACCGGTCTACCCATTTGTCTTTGGAGGCACCGGTCTACCCATTTGTTTTTGGAGGCACCGTCTACTCATTTGTTTTTGGAGGCACCGGTCTACCCATTTGTCTTTGGAGGCACCGGTCTACCCATTTGTTTTTCGAGCACACTGGTCTACCACCACACTGCCTTTTAACACTGGTCAGCTGTAGGGCGGCCCTTTGAAGCCCCGTGGCAAGAGTTTAAACAGTTTTTTTCCTTCTAGCCGATCAGCTGGGACTTGGGAGGCAGCGAATAGATTGGGGGCGGGGCTAAATAAAAGGTAAGAATAATGTGGGGCCCAGCTCCTGAACAAAGAGAACTGGTTTGGTGACGTCACTGCTACTGGCTCGGCCGAACCGGGAGGAACCCACCACTGGTAGATATGTTCCAGGTCGTTTCTCTGACATAATGTTATCCTAGTAAGTGTGCCTTCTATATCAGGAGACCTGCCCCCTAATTTGGATGGCCCTGACTCGGTTGGCATTTTGGAACACCTTAAAAACTCTAGCTCTTTCCTGCAGGCTTTAGAATCAGGATATCAGTGCAATATAGTTCGATTAAGCGTTTAAATTGAGTTCAGCATTTTGCCTGGCATCTTGTATTGTTCAATCGTTTGCACGTCTGGTTTTTATAGCTTCGTTAGCTGCCTCAGAGTTCTTTGCTTAAGATGGGTGGCTATATAAATTTGCACAATCAATCAATCATTTGCAGAATCATCACCAGAATATCTTCGGTGCCTTTGTGTAGTTGCCTGCCCGAGAGGGGTTAGTGAGGACACAAATTGTTTACACCTGTATCATTTTATATTGTGCAAAATGGTAAAATACATGACTTGTGTGACGCTATCGTGCTTGCTCACGTGTCTGTTTTGAAATCGTCACGGCTCGCAAGATGTTTCATCTATGGTATGAACTTGCCTGGAGGACGGTAATCTTTCTCTAAGAATCTTTGAAACTTAAAAACAAGGCTGACTTGTGAGGCAGACTGAGAGCCTTATCTGAGATGGCAGATTCAGATTTGCAGACTGACTCACTTGTCACTGTTTACGTCCCTGGGCCCTCTCCCTAACATCAAGTGGCAGTTTCAGAAAAAGAAGATGTTTTCATTTTGTGCTAGGGTGCAGAGGGGAAAAAAATGAATCCGCTTTTCTTATGATCCTGAATACAGTCAGGAGAACTCTTGGCTTCTAGAGTACATAAACATACGAAGAAGGATTGCAGGAATTGGGTATGTCTAGTTTAATGAAAAGAAGGACTAGGGGTGACATGATAGCAGTGTTCCAATATCTCAGGGGCAGGGTGGATTTGATTTAAATCGAGTTGATTTAAATCACGATTTAAATCATGATTTAAATCACTAGTAAAAAGGCTCGATTTAAATCAACTCGATTTAAATCATAATTTTTAAAGAGCAACTGTCATCTCTGCTACTCCTTTGACCCACTGTTGACTCACCGATAGTCCCAGTGTTGCAGAATATACAGCCTCCTGCTATATAACTAAGCTCCATTTCACGCTGAATAAACTAAGTTATTTATGTATCTTAAATAGAAAACTGTTTTACGATAGATTTTTACCCCCAAAGTTTTTTATTAAAATAAATTCGATAAAAATCAAAAAAATCCGATTTAAATCAAAAAAATCCGATTTAAAATCTGATTTTTTTGATTTTTTTTAAAAAAATCATTGATTTTTATCCACCCTGCTCAGGGGCTGCCACAAAGAAGAGGGAGTCAAGCTATTCTCCAAAGCACCTGAAGGCAGGACAAAAAGCAATGGATGGAAACTCATCAAGGAGAGAAGCAACCTAAAACTAAAGAGATAGTTAGAACAATTAATCATTGGAGTTGGGGACAACCATTTGTCTGAAACGTTATACGGTTTCCTGCCTAAGCAGAGGGTTAGAAGACTTCCAAGGTCCATTCCATTCCATAAGTTGGTGTCAGGATATTTAAAATAAATATTTAGTGTCAATCTATAATTTTCAACGTTATCTGTCTTTAATATCCAGAAAGAAGTCTGGTGATTATACCACATACAAAAATACTTTCCTCCAAACAGTACTTGGAAACTGATACCAACTTAGATCAACATTTTGCCAGTGACTTGCAGCTGTGCGAGAAGGCACGTATTGTGTTTTTAGAAGGGGGAGCTTCCACCAGAAGTAATGGCTTTCTATCTTTACCAACTCAGTGCTGTCCAAATGGATTGAACTGCTACGGCTGTATTCACTAGACCAGTGATGGCTAACCTTTTTGCCATTGCGTGCCAAAAGCGGGGGAGCGCTGGGGGTCGTGCGCATGCGTGCCCACATGCATAATTTAATGCCCCCCCCTTGTGCATGCGACCCCCTCCCCCCGCGTTCCTCCCACTTTTGGTATGCGTTACCAGTGGGCCCAAGTAGGCCCATTTTTTGCCCTCCCCAGGCTCCAGAGGCTTCCTAAGAGCCTAGGGAAGGTGAAAACGGCCTTTCCCATCCCCCCAAAGGCCAGAAACAGGCCATTTCCTGACTTTCGGTAGGCCCAGAAGGCCCATTTTTTGCTCTCTCCAGGCTCCAGAGGCTTTCTTGGAGCCTGGGGAGGGTGAAACCGGCCTTCCCCACCCCTCCGGAGGCTGGAAACAGCTTGTTTCCTGACTTCTGGTGGGCCCGGAAGGCCCGTTTTTCACTTTCCCCAGGCTCCAGAGGCTTTCTTGGAGCCTGGGGAGGGTGAAAATGGCCTTCCCCACCCTCAGGAGGCCCTCTGGAGGCTGGAAACAACTCGTTTCCTGACTTCCAGAAGGCCTGAAAATCAACTGGCCAGTGCGCACATCCGTGCTGGAGCTAAGCTAGGGCAATGCTCGCATGCCCACAGATATGGCTCCGTGTGCCACCTGTGGCAGGCATGCCATAGGTTTGCCATCACGGCACTAGACCATGATTAAAAACAAGTGGAATTGCAATCATGACCATGACTTGAATTTTTTGAGCATAACCTGTGCACGCCCCCCAGGGGGATATATATTAAAAAGGTAAAGGGGTCCCTATGGATTTTATTCTGCTAATCTAGGAGGTGCTGCTCATTTCCATTGACTCTAGGAGGTGCTGCCCATTTCCATTTCAAGGCCATTGAGCTGGCTCTGTCCAAAGACATTTTCTGTGGTCACGTGGCCAGCATGACATCACAGACCGCTGTTATCCTCCCAGTGAAGTGGTACCTATTTATCTACTTGCATTTGCATGCTTTCGAACTGCTAGGTTGGCAGGAGCTGGAGCAAGGAACCCGTCATGTAGTGCTCGGGTCTCAAACCTGAGCTGCCGGTTTTCCAGCCCAGTGTCTTAACCGCTGAGCCACCGCACTGCCTGTAAGTGTAAATGAGTACTTACGAGACCACCTACTGCAACCGATAACCTCCCACCAACCAATACGCTCTCACAGAGTAGGCCTACTCATAGTACCATCATTAAAACAATGTCGTCTAGTAGTTCCAAGGGAGAGAGCCTTCTCTGTGGGGGCACCTACTCTTTGGAACAAAATACCCCCTGGAATACGAATAATCCCAGATCTTCGCACTTTCCGATGTGCCCTGAAGACCTTTCTGTTTCAACAAGCAGGGCTAGCATAAACACCTAAATTCTATGCCAAGGTCTTAGCAGATACACCAAGTTGACTCAATTTATTATTTACTGTTATATATAATATTATATGTATATGAAATCTTAATCTGTTCACCGCCCTGAGTCCTTCGGGAGAAGGGCGGTATAGAAATTAAATAAATAAATAAATAAATAAATAAATAAATAAATAAATAAATAAATAAATAAATAAATAAATGGGATGGCCATAAATGCACACCGAATCTAGCCTTCATACGTAGTGCATTTTAGAAAATGTGTTATTTGTGACGGAGAAAGGAAAAGCGAAGAGATCAACATGAAATTACCTTTAACGAAGACATAAACGGAGCTGTTGGAGTTTCTTCTGTTCTTGCACAGATAGGTTCCTGTGTCTGTTGGTCTTGCCTGAATAACATGCACTTCTTTAGTTTTGAAATTCTTTAACTTCACGGATGGGTCAGCACTGTAAAAGACCCAGGTCACTGGGCCATCATCGGTACAGGCCAGCTTAAATTCTTGCCCGCTATTCACAACCAAAGGAGATCCTGATGGGGAAATGGATGGTGAACCACCTGCCCAAAAATAAATGAGATGGTTAGTGTTTTGTTATTCTCCACTGATTTTTTTTTTAAAAAAGATTGCAGATTTATGTACATTTAATCTCTTTACTTATTTTCTTGATTGTTCCAATACAGGTAGTCCTCAACTTACCCAAATTTATGTTGCTAAGTGAGACATATGCTAAGTGAGTTTTGTCCCATTTTATGACCTTTCTTGCCACAATTGTTAAGTGAATCATTGCAGTTGTTAAGTTAGTATCAGAATAGAATAGAATAGAATGGAATGGAATGGAATGGAATGGAATGGAATAACAGAGTTGGAAGGGATCTTGGAGGTCTTCTAGTCCAACCCCCTGCTTAGACAGGAAACCCTACACCACTTCAGACAAATGGTTATCCAATCTCTTCTTAAAAACTTCCAGTGTTGGAACATTTGCAACTTCTGGAGGCAAATTGTTCCACTGATTAATTATTCTCACTGTCAGGAAATTTCTCCTTAGTTCTAGGTTGCTTCTCTCCTTGATTAGTTTCCACTCGTTGCTTCATGTCCTGCCCTCAGGGGCTTTGGAGAATAGCTTCATTCCCTCTTCTTTGTGGCAGGTTGTTAATAAGTGAATCTGGCTTCCCCGTTAGCTCTGCATGTCAGAAGGTCACGAAACATGACCCTGAGACACAGCAGCCATTATAAATATGAGCCAATTGCCAAACATCTGAATTTACCAAGGGGATGCTGCAACAGTCATAAGTGTGAAAAACGGTCGTAAGTCTCTTTTTTTCAGTGCCGTTGTAACTTTGAATGGTTCGCTTAAGCAAACTGTTGTAAGTCAAGGACTACCTGTATTTTTATTCTACCTGCTACTTTTCAGCCCAAACTGAAAAAGCACTATGCCTTTATGTGTGACACACTGACATACCATTATTGCTCTTATACAGATCTCTGAACTTCCTTCCACCACCTCAGCAGAATTCCAAAGCACATTATCACTTTTATTATTAATCCCATTTGCTCAATTAGAGAGAGCTTTTTTTACCTGTTCACCAATTTCAAAACATTTTGTTCTCTGTCTCTTTTAATATTAACTGTGCCTTCTTCTCTTTGACTATATTTTTCTTTACCCTGTGTGCAAAAACTTTCAACTTCTTTTTTTTTTGAAGCAACTGTTTTCTTGTATGCATTTTTTCTTATCCACAGACCCTTCCGATTCATCATTTGATCTAGCATCCTATTTTATAATTCAATTATGAAATAGGATACTATGATACAATTTCCATAGCCTTTTTTCATTCACCTGCTTTCCATTCAATGAGAGAATAATCTATCATCTAATGTTTTTGTACAGGATTCTGGTCCTGCTTTCACTTTCATTTCTTTCCCCTTTTTTATCTATTATGTTTCTTTCTCTTTCCCACTCTCTGAAACTATTATCTACCATATCTCACGACCTAAAATGGACACCCAAAACGTCATCAAAAAAGCACAACAAAGAATGTTCTTTCTGTACCAACTCAGGAAGCTCAAACTGCCCAAGGAGCTGCTGATCCAGTTCTACAGAGGAATTATTGACTCTGTCATCTGCACCTCCATAACTGTCTGATTTGGTTCTGCAACCCAACAAGAGAGACACAGACTTCAGAGGATAATTAGAACTGCAGAAAAAAACAATGGCTACCAACCTGTCTTCCATGGAGGACCTGTATACTGCACGAGTCAAAAAGAGGGCTGTGAAAATATTTACAGACCCCTCGCATCCTGGACATAAACTGTTTCAACTCCTAGCCTCAAAACGACGCTATAGAGCACTGCACACCAGAACAACTAGACACAAGAACAGTTTTTTCCCAAACGCCATCACTCTGCTAAACAAGTATTTCCCTCAACACTGTCAAACTAGTTACTAAATCTGCACTACTATTAATCTTCTCATCATTCCTATCACTCATCTCCTCCCACTTATGACTGTAACCTTGTTGCTGGTATCCTTAAGATTTATATTGACTGTTTCCCTATGACTATCATTAAGTGTTGTACCTTATGATTCTAGACGAATGTATCTTTTATTTTATGTACACCGAGAGTATATGCACCAAGACAAATTCCTTGTGTGTCCAATCACACTTGGCCAATAAAGAATTTTATTCTATTCTATTAAGAATTGTGCCATGTTCCAAAAACTAACAAAAACACATTGTGATTCTTCCTGGGGTTTTTTTATTGTTTGTCATCTAAACAGAATGTCCACACCCTCAACCAATGAAGACTTCAAGGCCGACAGTTCCTCAAAGTTCCATTTTATTAGAGATGTCATATTGGCACATCTGGGAAAACCCGAATCTGAAAGCTCTCGAGTTTTCCCCACCCAAAAGAAAGTCGAAGTCCCTTCCCCTGCACCCACATGTCCATCATATAGTCCAATCAATCCACCGTCCCAACTGGGGATGCCTGCCAGTCACACCACTCCAGGTGCAGGCTGAACGTCCTTGACTCTCAGAGAAAAGAATGTTGTTATGGCTAAATACTTCTACCAACTCCATACAACTCCCCCCTCCCAGTTTACCACAGACTAAGTGTGGCAGCCTTGAAGATCCAAAAGAAAAGTTGGACTCCAGGGCTGACACAGAATACTTTCAAAGTAAAGCATGCTGCCTCCCTCATAAAACCTACACTTAGGGAACTATTAGGGAAGGGACATCCCCATCCCTTTTCTCTCACACCATCCTGGGAATCCAGACAACGTTCCATCACATGATATGTCTCATGCTGGGAGCCTCAAGTACCGTACTTGAGGGTGGAAATGTTGGTGCATCTTATACACCGAATACAGCCATTTTTGGCATCCCAAAGCCCCACCCCACGCGTCCTGTTTTTGGCCTCCAAAACCCCTCATGCATTGCATTTTTGCCCTCCCCAGCCCCCAGGACCACTCTGCAGGCCTCCCAAAGCCTCTGCTCGCACCGTTTTTGTGAAAAACGGGATGCACAGAAGGTTTGGGAGGCCTGCAGAGTGCTCCTGGGGGCTGGAGAGGGCAAAAACTTTTTTTTCTTCTTACCTCTTCAAAATCTTGGTCTGTCTTAATACACCGGTGCGACTTATAGTCCCAAAAATACAGTACCCCTTTCATGAACACATCTTTCATCATAAACAATCAAATAAATCCTGGCTTTTATATACATTATTACATTGTTTGTCGTGTACACAGGTGGTCCTCAATGTAGAACCCAACATTTCTGTTGCTAAGTGAGACCTACGTTAAGCAAACTTTGTCCCCATTTTATGACCTTCTTTGCCACACCCGTTAAGCGAATCACTGCCGTTGTTAAGTTTGTAACACGGTTGTTAAATGAATCTGGCTTGCCAGAAGGTCGCCAAAGGGCATCACATGACCCCAGGACTCTGCAACTGTCATAAATATGAGTCAGTCACCAAGCATCTGTATTGTGATCACAGGACCATGGGGATGCTGAAATGGTTGTAAGTGTGAAAAACGGTCATAAGCCTTCCATCCTTCCGGTAAAATGAGGACCCAGATTGTTGGAGGCAAGACGCTGACTCTGTTAATCGCTTACAGAGTGCTATAAAACATTATGAAGCATTATATAAGTCTAAGTGTTCAAAGTTACAAGACATTGGAATAAGTGACTTATAGTAATAGCAGTAAGTCACTTTTCCCAATGCAGTTGTAACTTTGAATTGTCATTAAATGAACTGTTGTAAGTCAAGGACTACCTGTATTGACACTTAAACCACAAATCTGAAAGAAAAAATACTTTTTTTTTTTAACTGAACACTCACCAAACACTCCGAATTCTGATTTATTGTTAGGCCTCTGAGTAGCTAGATCATTTTTTCCCTACCTTCTCCTCTGATTTCGAGCCATCCGTCCATCCATCCATCCATCCATGTATACATGCATGGGAGACACCTAACAGAATAACTTTTCCTCCTGGATCCCATTCATTTCGAAAGCTGTACAATTATTCCCAAACTCAGTTTTTGTTCTTCCATTACCACATTCACTGCAGCACAATATATAATTCTCACTAATCTATGAATTCTTCATTTCTATAGATTTCCCCAAGGGCCAAAGTGATGCCAATTCATACTTACTGACAGGGTGGATTAGATTTAAATTAAGTTGATTTAAATCACAGTTTAAATCGTGATTTAAATCACTAATAAAAAGGCTTGATTTAAATCAACTCGATTTAAATCATAATTTTTAAAGAGCAACTGTTATCTCTGCCCCACAGCAGTTCCTCCTCTGACCTGCTGTTGACTCAACCAACTGTCCCAATCTTGTAAGAATATAGAGCCTCATGCTATATAACTAAGCTCCATTTCATGCTGAATAAACTAAATTATTAATGTATCTTAAATAGAAAACTATCTTTAGATTTTTACTCCAAAAGCATTTTATTAAAATAAATTTGATAAAAATAAAAAAAATCCTATTTAAATAAAAAAATCTGATTTAAATTTTTAAAATTTAATTTTTTTAAAAAAAAAGCATCGATTTTTATCCACCCTGCTTACTGAAGTACGTACACCTTAGCTTTTTCATTCATAGTTAATGCTTTCCTTTCCATGCAAATATTTCCATGCAAATAATGCTTTCCTTTCCATGCAAATTTCCATGTAAAGTGCAAACTGGTTATATAATCATCAAACATCATTTAACCTGCTTATGTGTTATGTGTTCGTAGTTACTTCCTACAAACACCAAACACCTATCAGCACAAACTCAATTATGCACATCCCAACTTTCTTTATTCCAACTGTCTGTGACTCAATATTTTTCGGAGTCTGTTGTTGTTAGTTGCGAAGTCGTGACCCTATGGACAACGTTCCTCCAGGCCTTCCTGTCCTCTACCAACCTCTGGAGTCCATTTAAGCTCACGCCGACTGCTTCAGTGACTCCATCCAGCCACCTCGTTCTCTGTTGTCTCTTCTTCTTTTGCCCTCAATCTTTCCCAGCATTAGGCTCTTCTCCAGTGAGTCCTTCCTTCTCATAAGG